ATCCATGATGGACCGGGTAGTTACACTGTTCGTCGACATCTGGACCGGTTGCACGACTACATGTGGATGAAAAACGAAGGCATGCTTATGAACGGCACCAATGGAGTACAAGTCTGGGATACGGCATTCATTATTCAGGCAATCGATGTTGCTGGTTTTGTTGATGATCCAAAATGGCGTCCTATGCTTCTCAAGGCTCTAGAGTTCTTGGAGGACCACCAGATGCGAGAAAATGTACCTCAACAAGAGCGCTGCTACCGCCATAGGACGAAAGGTGCCTGGCCGTTTAGCAATAAAACGCAGGGATACACCGTCAGCGACTGCACCGCGGAAGGTCTTCGGGCCGCACTGCTGCTTCAGAAAGTCCACGGGTTTCCCCAGTTAATATCCGACGAAAGATTGAAAGATGCGGTCGATACTCTAATTTCTATGCAGAATAAATCGGGAGGTTTTTCAGAGTATGAAAATACTCGGGGTTCTTCTTATCTGGAGTGGCTCAACGCTGCAGAGGTCTTTGGTGGCATCATGATTGGATACGATTATCCTGAGTGTACAACCGCTGCCCTTACTGCTCTATCCTTCTTCAGCAAGTTCTTCCCGGATTATCGTACAAAGGAAATCGAGGAAGTAAAACTCAAAGCAGTAGAATATATTCGCCGCGTACAGCGCCCTGATGGGAGCTGGTATGGAAGCTGGGGTGTCTGTTTCACCTACGCTGCCATGTTTGCACTGGAAAGTCTTGCCCATGTTGGCGAAACATACGAGACTAGCGAACTGGTTCGCCGTGGTTGCCAATTCCTAGTTGACAAACAAATGGAAGACGGTGGCTGGGGGGAGTCGTATCTCAGCTCCGAGCAGAAGGTGTACACGCACTATGAAACATCGCAGGTTGTGCAGACTTCCTGGGCCTGTCTTGCGCTGATGGACGCCGGATATCCGAACAAGGAAGTCCTTAAGAATGCAATGAAGCTGTTGATGACAAAACAGCAAGCAAATGGAGAGTGGCTTCAAAATGGAATCGAGGGCGTGTTTAACCAGTCATGGTATGAAATGCTTTTGGCAGTCCCAATTTAACTGCCATGAAGATAAATGCTAATTTACCTTTCCTATTCTAGCATGATATCCTACCCCAACTACAAGCTCTACTGGCCAATTCGAGCCCTGGGACTCTACGCTAGAAAGTTTGGCAATGAGGAAATTCTGTAACAGCGCGATGCGAGACCCTAGATCTGGAAGCTATCCATTTCCAGCTGCAACTGATAATGTAAATTGCCTAATTTGTTTTCACCGCTGCTTGCAACAGAGTATGAATTATACTGGATAGATGCCCATACATCAGTATAAATTAATCATCCAATTCAAGTGGTCAAGCGGTTCCCATGCTCTTCTATTCCCTCATTTTGAAGCTTGTCTCCTGTAGAATCGACGTCACGTGAATAATAACGTGGCCCAAACACAGGGATCTCTCAAAACCCAGGCCAAACTTAGGGATGATCAATGGATGCAACTACATCCACTTGTGATATTAACAAACCTCTGAAATCTCACCACATCATTCTTCAAATCATCAAATGAAGCACTAATAGTCGCCTCTTCTACCACTAGCACCTCTTTAAAATAGATCGTCACCTTCATTAATTTGACTAACCCCCAAACCACTATCTAGAGGAGAGCTCAGTAAAGCTCAGAATGGACGAAGCCCAACGTGGCGCAAAGGCTCTTTCTGCTTCCAACTTCCCAGCCGCGATTGAGCACTACACTCGTGCCCTCGCTATCAACCCGCATGCCACAGATTACTACATCAAACGGTCAACAGCCTATTCGCGCCTGCGCCCAGCCGACGGGGGTCCCAACAGCCAAGCAGCCCTTCACGATGCCGAAATGGCCGTGGCACTCGGTTTGAAGCGTGCAAGACGGGAACAGATCCTGTCCAGCCAAATGCGTCGGGCTATCGTGCTCTACCATTTAGAGAGATATGGGGATGCAGATTTCCTGTTTAAACTCGTGAGGGGTAAAGTTGGCCCTGCTGTGCAGAATACTGTAAGGTCTGCGATGACGAATAACAATGGCAGTACTGCTACTGCGAAGGCGAATCGGGAGCTGGATATTTGGGAGATGAAGGTGGCGAAGTGGGTAAAAACATTGAGAAAGGATGACGAGAGGATGCAGGTTACTGTTAAGGAATACCCTGATATCAAGGTACCAGAGGCAGCAGAGTTGAAGGAGATTTTTCGTAAACAATTAGCTGCGGTTGACGTGGGTGAGAAGAAGGGGTCTGTGGATAAAGGGAAGGATGCATCTGGGCAAGACAATGGGCAACCATCTGCTACACCCGCGAAACAAGAGCAGTCTGATTCTCCGCCAACAGTTGCCCCACAAGCTCCTCTCACGAACAAGGTGCGGCATGAGTGGTACCAGACAGCAGACACGGTGGTTATAACATTGTACGTGAAGGGTGTTCCTAAGGAGAAGGCGGATATTGATATCCAGGAAGACTCGGTATGATACCCCTCCCATTTCCTCATAGACATTGATGTTATGGCTAATAACTATGTAAGCTCTCTATAACTTTCCCCTTGGCCTCCGGATCGGACTTCTCCTTCAACCTTGAACCACTATTCGCACCTGTTGACTCCGCTATCTCCAAAACGTCTGTGATGTCAACAAAAATTGAAGTTGTTCTCCGCAAGAAACAGTCAGGTCTAAAATGGGGAGGACTAAAGGGCACACACCGACAAGCAAATCCCACGGGAGCAAATAACGCCGCCCCTCCAATAACACCAACCTCTATACTGTCATCACAGCCCAGCACGTTACTACCTACGGGGGGTGTGCCATCATATCCTACTTCATCCCGCACTGGTCTTAAAGATTGGGATAAAGTGGCATCCTCCCTAACTAAGAAGAAAGAGAAAAAGAAGAGTTCTGCTAAAGGCAAAGAGAAGGAAGCTGCTGGTTCTGATGACGACAGTGATGACGAAGGACTCCAATCCGATGACTCAGACTATGGTACTGGTGATCCCGTTGATTCTTTCTTCAAAAAGCTGTACGCTAACGCAGACCCTGATACGCGCCGGGCTATGGTGAAGAGCTATTATGAGAGCGAGGGAACGGCATTGAGCACGAATTGGAGTGAGGTGTCAAAGGGGAAGGTGGAGCCCAAGCCTCCATCGGACGATTGATTTGTTTCGGATGGCTGTCTTATTCTTCAATATAGGATTTTTACCAAGCAATGAGTTATATCATCCCCCCTACTCCGGAACTACAGGAGATGGGTCGGGATATATCTCGCCGTGCCGGGTTGTTACTTTCCAGTTGTAGGGCTAACTCCCTCAGCCCGGACTCTAGTAAGACAATGAAATAGAATGAATGTCATGATTAATATGGATTTAATGGCTTCTGGCGAATGAAGTCTGTGATTTCCTTTTTTCAGTTTAGCCTCTTGTTATTCCTGATCACAACTTGAGCAAATTTCTATTTGCGGAATTTGATCAAGTGAGATGTTTGATATACTGAACAATTTTAGAAACAGAAACTTAGTTTAGTATTATAATAAGATCTTCAATTTTTGTGCTTATTCAGTCTCTAGAATTCAGGTTTGTTTGAATCTATTAGTTTCATCTAAGAAAAATCTCACAAGTTAAATCAATATCATTTAAAAAAGAAAAAAGGTAATATGAATAGTAATTATGCTAGACCTGTGAGGGCGTAGAACGGGCTCCGTCCAGACTCCTCGACAGCGTAAGGCCACTGGGCTGAGTTAATCAGTAATCGCAACTGCCTAGCAACGGCAGAGCAACCTACCCCACAATTACCCCGCAAATGAATACCCCGTAAACGTGGGAACCGCCTAGCAACGGTGCTAAGAAAAGGGGCAACTGCGCTAAAGGAAAGGGGTATATAAACAGAGCCTTCCCCGAACCCGTCTTCTAGAAACCATCTTAGTATTTCGTCCAGATAGCTTACCTAGCTGGCAATCGAACACTGGTTTCACCTGCGCCTAGATTGAAGCCGTGACAAGACCCTTCCATCACATTATATTTCATCATATAGTTTCATGATTAGCAATTTTTGCAATTGATCAAGCTTGTCATTCTGTAAGATTATAAAATCTGTTTCACATTTAAACATAGTCAATTTGAAAGTTATTTTGTCACAATCAATCTGCTTGCTTTATTTGAATAATATCATTTTATTTAAAATATTTTTTGTATATTAAAATATTTATATTATGTATTTAATAAAGTTTTTAATATAATTTTAATTTTTTAATATTTTAATTTAATAATAATAATAATAATAATAATAATTTTAAATCAATATTTTATAATTTCCCAGTAATTGTATTTAGTTTATTCATGAATATTATATCTAAAATAGTAGTATTAAAGCTCTATATAGTGATTAACTAGTTTCAAATCTCAGTTTTTCTCAAGTCTTAAGAAGTTTTGTTCAAATTTTAAGATTAAAGAAAATAATTCATCACATTTTTTATAAATATTAACCTGAGAGAAATTTTTTATTTTATTTAGATTTAGAATTCATTTAACAAATTTATTCATTTTAATCTAAGTCAATTCTATAAATGTTAAGTAAATTCACTTATACAGTTCAGTCATTAAGTATATAAGTAAAAGTTAAGTGAGAAATTTCAAGATAAATATGCAGCTTCAGAAATTGAAGATATTTCTTGCTTTTTAATACATTTATTATGAATTCAAGTCTTCTCTCTCTCTCTCTCTCTAGAGAAAATTTAAAACCTTTTATTATGAATTGATGGCATGTTTGCGCGTTAAAGTGGATCAGTTAAGAGGAATTTGAGATGGATGTTACTCAGTGGGGAATTACATTAGTTATGTCACAGTTATATTCCTGAAAATGCTTCCAGCCTTCTAACAGTCATATTTTTCCGTAATGAATCAGTTCCTGTATCGTCTCAGTTCACTGCTCCTCCCTTAACCTCTTTTCAGTATACATCTCCTAAAAACTCTTCTCTTGTCTCATTCTTCCTCCTCCTCGTAATCGCCGTTCGCGTCCTTTTCCTTATATAAAATAAATTGTACAAAGATCGCTAGGTCCAAAATAAGTGTGCCCAAACTCCCCAACAGCCACGATGCATTCACCAAAATATACCTAGCATAAATTCTCCTCTGCTCACCCGGCCGGCAAATGCCATGTTTTCCTTTGCACCGCGGCAAATATGCAAATATCGACAATATATACGTCAAGTTCCCCACGCACGCGAATAGGAAGAAAAGTAACGAAACCCCTTCAGTACTTTTCCTCTTGTAGTTCAGTAAGAGCTGCGGAATCCGACTGCCCAAATACAGCGCTGCGCAAAGGTAGCCAAATATTTGGCCCAATGGGTCCAGCTTCAGAGAGTCACTATCAGATGGCAGTCGGTCTTTGCGCATGCTCCGCGACGAGCCTGAGCTGACGTACCAGCCTAACACACCTGCAGCACAAACGAGGGCAACACTGAAGATGTTAAAGGCAACAACTTGTATGGTGGAGGTATGCTGGTGGGGTTGTGCTTGGGGTGCAGCGGTGGTGTTGCTGGCGGCAATCGGGGTCTGTTTACCAGGATCCAATAGCGGCACTGTCGGGGACAAATGGGTGCCATCCAATGTGGAGTTTTGTTGGCAAAGTAAAAAGGTTGATTGGTGGCGATGGAGGTGGTCATGGAGGTGATGAAATCCTAGTTCCCGCTCTTGTTCGTGTTCAGGGCCATGTTCACCTCCACGTTCGTCCTCAGGTCCATGAGCCGTTAAATGTCCGGTTTCGGGAATTCGATGGTTGCCGTTGGCCAGCAAGGGAGAATGCGCCGATGGCTGACCATGAGCACATGGATTATCCACCTCTTCCTCTCCCCTCCCAAAAACACCTGAAAATGTGCTGCCAACATCGTTGCATTTTGTGCGCTTGTCAGAGATAGTAAATCCCCTGTAATAGAAACATTGAGAAAGTAGGGCTATATCAGCTAATGTATAGTACACAGCTAGGATTATCATTGTTGGCAGGACCCCCTGAAGGACTGCCCCGAGAATATTGAATATATCGCCTGCCAGCCATACCACAAGGAAGAGGAGGGAAAGGCCATCTGCTGATCCTCGACGGAAATTTTCGATGATCTGGGGCGAGAAAACAACCACCCAGCAAGCGATTGAAATGGAGCTGTTGGTGCATTAAAGTGCCTTTGTTAGCCAGCGATCGATTTAATCCAGTTTCAAGAGCGAGCAAGGGTATGCGCAAAATGAGATGGTGACGGGTAGAAAGGTATAAGAAAGCTGCCGGAGATCGAATCCATACCCAAATATTCCACTCAATGTCTCAATATCCAAATATCCAGTTGATGATGGAGGAAACATGACGCGTTATGGACCTTTGTCATGCGCAACCGCAGCATTTGACCGGGAAGTATTAGCATATAGATTAGGTATGTCTACGTGGAAAATGAGCACAGGCCAAAGAACTCGGTCGTTCGCAAAATTATTCCATTGAAGACGTGATTGGGATAATCTCGAGGGTTTTGACATCCAATTTCCGGATTGTGCTGAATCAATTCCTCCAGATAAGTAAAATCATCGATGACGTATCCACGTGACATGTAATCTGTTCGGATGAAAGGCCAGGTAGAACGATCTATATACACCCATCGCGAACGGTGAGGGCGGCTGTCTGGGCAACGTGTGCCCAACCCCCCCCCAACACACCAACGCAAATCCTCCGTGTATCAAGAGCTGAGTGAGCTATTCTATCCTAGAACCCAACTGAAACACACTACATACAAGATTTTGATAGTCTTGACTATTTTCCATATGAAAGCTCTACAAAGTTGATAAGTCATTTAAATGTCAGTGTGCTTAAAGATTTTTGAAGACTGTCTGCTTCATGTTCACTGTGAGAATGTAATTAATGAAAATCACTTCTTCATGCAACTGTGTATCAGAATAGTGAAAATGAGAGTCAATATGCTTATTATATACTGTGATTGCTGTCACAGTGATCAGATCAATTGACTCTTTATTATTTATCTTAATTTGTAGAGAAACTACTGTTATGAAGCTTACTGTTACAGCTTCAATTTAAATGCAGATAAACAAATATTTGATTGTCAACTAGATAAACTATCTCAATGAAATACTAAGATAATCTTCAAAACAGAGATCTGAAAAAGTCTCTTCTTATATCTCTTTTCACTAGTGATTGATATATTATTACTAGATAGTTACTATAAGATACTTATTTACAAAATAGTTACTTGATCATTGCTAGACAGTTTCTGCAAAATGATTGTTAAATTATTACTATTACTCTTTTCAGACAATGTCAGTTTCTATAACTTAGTAGTCAATGCTATTTATAATATTATCACACTCATATTTAATATTATATAATAATATTTCTTCTTATACAACTTTATTAAATATTATATATTTTATTTAATTAAAACTTAAAAAATATAAAATTATTTAAATAAATATTATTTATTTAAATTTATATATAAAATTAATTAAATTAATTTAAATTAAAAGAATAAATTAAATTAAAAAAAATAATTTTATAGTTAGTATTATTAAAAATATAATTAATTATTTTTTATTATATAAAATTTTATTATTTTTATTATTAACTTTTTCTGTATTGATAAAAACTAAATATTAAATTTAATAATATATTATTTAGAACTTTAAATTAATTATTTTATATAATATAATTTTAATTAATTAACTATAAAAATTTAAAGATTATTTAAACTTGATTTAAAATTTTAAAGATAATAATTATTAAATATAAAATTTTATTTAAAAATATATATAATTTTAATAAAATTAATTTTATAATAAACTTTATACTATTATTGAAATTATTATTAATAATAAATATTATAACTAATAAAGTTTTTATAATTATAATAATATAGAATAAATAGATTTTATTCAGTTTTCTTAACAGTGTAAAATTACAGACTGAGATGATTGATAATTATAACTGTCTAGATATTGATATAGTAATTAATCTCATAATTATTTTATATATGAATAATATATAAATATGAGAAATAATATTAAGAAAAAAAAACTATATAAACAGAGTCTTTTCTGAACTTATCTCTTAGAAATTATTTTAATATTTTATTTAGATAGTTTATCTAGCTAACAACTGAATATCTATTTCATCTGCATCTAGATTGAAGTCTTGATATAATACTAAGATTAATAACTTTTTTTGTTTTTTTTAAAATAAGTTTTTTAAATAAAAATTTTTTAAGAATTCTTATTTATTTTTATTTTAAATCTCTGATAATACTGCTAAAATATTAGCAGCAGTTAAAGAATCTGACAGTTTATAAAAATCAGACTAAGATATGATTACTATAATAGAGAGAAATATGAGATCAAGAAAGCTTTTATCAAAGAAAATATTTTTGAAAATAATTGAAAAGAACTTACAATAAATATATCAAAAAATTACTAATCTCAGAAACAAAGCAAGAGAAACTCTAGATCAAATTAGAACAGAATGAGATAATCAAAAAAAAGTAAGTAAGTGAACTTGATCAGTAAGTAAACAGCTTGATAGAGAAAAATATATTTTATAGTAAATAGTAAATTCTTTAGTCTTACAAATCATACTGATAAACATTCAACAGATATAATGATTAGTCAAGCTTGATGATCTGAAGTATTTTATCAATAAAAAAGAATTAATATTTGAAAATTAACTTTTATAAATGAGATGCAAGTTAACTATTAATGCTGACTACTTTTCAACTGAAAAAAATCAAATTGTATATATAGAAAACTAAACAGATGATGAAGCAGCAATACATCTAACTTTCAAAATAAGAGAAGATTATTTTAAGAAGTTTAAGATTGTCAAGAAGGTTTTTAAATATCTGTAAAAAATATATGAGAATGTCAATAAGCTTGAGAATGCACAGATAAAATATTAATAATTGATAATGAGAAATGAGAATAATTATTATATTTTTATGATCAAGTTCTTGCATCTGACTGATGAAGCTCAGATTTAAAAGAAAGATTATAAAGTAGATTTTCTTTACAAACTATTTTTTAATATTCAATATATGATTGCAGTAGTCTATATTAGTTGTAACATCTTTCATAAAATTTAAAAGATCTGCATTTAGGCTACTTATTATCTCAAGAGCATATATAATTAAAACAATTAACAAGTAAACTGTAAAGAAACTTCTAGAACTTGAGCAAACTATGAAGAACCTTCTGCAATTTAAGTCAACTATGAAAGTATCTCTGTAAGACTGAATAATCATAAATCAACTTTATTTACATCAGTACAAATAACTGAGAATTGGAAAAGAATATGAAATGCTTCAACTGCTAAAGTAAAAATCATACAGTACAGAATTGCTCATATAAGCAAAAGACTGAACTAAGGAAAATAAATACTGTGATTGTTATCATCAAGTCAGAAAAAGATTAGGTCTGAAAAAAGTTTTCTTCTCAGATAATAATATGATTGTACTAAAGACTTTTAACATAAATAAGCTGATAAGTGAAAATTTCTTTATTATACATATCAAGATAGTTTTTAATGAATATGTTATTTCTATAAGATTATTAGTAAATTTCAGAGTAAATTGCTATATTTTTATCAAGTCAAGTTTCATATAGAAATGTATCAAATTATTGAAAATATGCTTTAAAAATGCAAAAGAAAGTCATTAAATCATGAGCTTCAATAATTAAAGAGAGATTTTAATCACAAAAGTCATCTTTTTATATTTATAAATAGATGAAAAAAAATTTATAAATATATTAATATTGATAACAGATCTAAGAAGTACTGATATAATTATAAAATAAGCTTAACTGATAAAATAAGAAATATAACTAGATATGAAGAATCAATATCTAATTTGGTTAATGTGCAGATATCAGCAGATAAGATATCAGAGAAATACACTTTAGTAATTTTAGAAAATATTCTGAAAAGATTAGTGATAAAGTCAAAGCGTCAATAGAATACAGATTACTATAATAGACTTATTAATAAGAAATTTAAACATGAAAATAATGAAAGAGATAAACAATAAAAAATAATATTTATTAAAGATAAGTTTTTTATCATTATGAGAAAAGTAAAAAGTCAGAGATCTTTATTTCAAATCTTTATAAAATATATAAAATTATTAAGAAAAAAAAAATTATTATTGAAGTAGAACTAAAGGATAAAGAACTGATTAATAAGTATATATCAGAGAACTATAAGAAATTCTGAGATATTTTCTTAGAAGTTATATTTGATAAATTATCACTCTTTTGAAAAAAAGTAAATTATAAGATTGAGTTGAAAAAAAAAGCTAATTTAAATAAAATTATTAATTATATATTATTATATTAAATAAGTCTGAAAAAGCTTGAAATGATCAAATAATATTTTAAGATTAATTTAAAAAAAAGATTTATTTTATCAGTTACTTTCTTCTTTATATTTTCAATTCTTATAGTTTATACAACAGGTAAATTAAAATTCTATATGAATTATTATCAGTTTAATATTATCTCAAAAAAGAATCAATACTTATTTTTTTTGATTAATAACCTCATAAAGTGATTAAATAAAGTTAAGTTCTTTATTAAGTTAAATATTCATCAAGACTTTTACTGAATATGCATACACTCTGATACTGAAGATTTGACTATTTTTAAAATACATTATAAAATCTATAAATATAAAGTTATACTCTTTAATCTGAGTAATAAATCAGCAATTTTTTAATACTTTATAAATTTTATCTTCTTTGACTATTTAAATCAGTTTATAACTATTTTTGTAAATGATCTATTTATTTATAATAAAATCTTGAAGAATATAAAAAGCATATTAAGAAAATATTGACTAGATTATAAGAGATGAGACTTCATATAAGTATCTCAAAGTGTAAGTTTCATGTTCAGTAAATCAAGTATCTAGAGTTTATTATTATAGATAAAGATATGAAAATTGATTTGAAAAAAATTACTGTAATCTCTCAATAAGCAATATTTAGTATAATGAAGAAAATTTAATTATTTCTAGAATTTTATAACTTTTATTAGTACTTTATCAAGAAATATAGTTAAATTATAAAATCACTGTTTAAATTTATCTGAATAAATTAATTTTTTTTAAAAAAAATAATATCTATTAATATATTTTTAAACAGATGAAAAAAGTTCTATCTGAAGCTTCAGTGCTTTATCATTATAATTCAAAACAAAAGATTTATATAGAGATAAATATTTTAGATAATGTTGTAGCTGATATTCTGTTTCAGCTGTGTAAGAACGAGCAGTGATATTCAGTTACTTTTTACTCAATTTCTATGAATAAAACTTAAAAAAACTATAAAATTAATGATAAGAAAATACTAACAATTGTAAGAGTATTGTTAAAATGATAAGCTAAGCTGAAAGATTTTCAGAGAACAGAGAGATTTAAAATTTTAACTAATTATTAAGTACTGAAGTACTTTATAATCATTAAGAATTTTAATACTTAATGAGTATATTAAGTTGAATTTCTTTCATAATTTCACTTTTTGATTCAGTATCAACCTGGATGTTAAAATATACTAACAGATATTTTAAGCAGATTAGAGATATAGAAAGATAATAAAAGTATTTAAATATAACTATTTCTCAATTCAAAGAGATTAGATTAATAAATTATCAAAA